TATAATATAATTAATATAATAAATAGTGATAAGAATTAACTATAATTTAATTATTTTTTACGTTAAAGCACTAAATGCAATTATATTGTTTAGTTAAGTATTTTATAGTGTTAAATTTGACATTGTAAAACTACTACATAAATAGTTACCATTAATTCACAAGTTCGATAAAATTTTAAAGTTTATAGAAAGCTAAGGTTTGAGTGGCCACCTTATTTACCAAAGCCCACTTAAGAACAAATAATGACCCAAGGTGATACTAAGAATGAAGACGTTGCTTATATATAGCAGACCAAGAGATCACCAAAAACTGTTGTAAAGTTCAAAACAGTCGAAAAGAGCAATACTCTCTAATAAATGTAAACCAATCTGACAAGTCAATTAATTTAGTTTCCTTGACCTTAATTTTGAAGGCTAATGTTTATATCAAATTAATTACTACAAAATTTTTTTAACAAAGGGAGATCGGTTTGTGTGCTGTTAGGTAGCACTTTTGCCACTATTTGCTGGTATTCCACCATGCTAGCATTTATATTTGCTATTTGTTTTATACTTCTTCAGTGGTTTTAGCACTTTTTTGATGATTTGATGATTTGAGCATGGATCAAATCACCTGCAAGAAAAGAGATTTACTTCGTTATTGATAAAATTAATTGTAATTAATTATATTTAATAGAATAACTAAGACGCAGTACAATATTTCAAATATATTTTAAGATTACTTTAGTAAATGGTGTTGAGGAATTTTTTGAATCAAAATAAAGATTGACAAAATTTAATAAATTTGAATTGAATTAATAAAATAAATTATGCTTTTTGAACTTACACCAATTGCGTTCCCGTATTACAGATATAGTAGAGTAAAAATATAGAGATAGATCTTTTTTTTTAATTTTATTTGAATTAATTTAAAAATTTTGGTTTTTCAATTTTTATCAAATGCCTTCCGATAAAATATATATTTCTTAGTAAACAATCAGCTATTGACTTAAATACTTCGTGGTCCTGAGTGAACTGTCATCTATGTTAAAATCAACATATGTTTGTGAACTTACACGTCCCGGAGAATTCTTATGCAACTAAAAAAAAACATTACGTACAGTATAGCTTGTGACATGTGACACCATCCTCTTGAAACTCATATCTTTCGTTTTACGGCAAAACAAAAAGGATTTTCATGTACTTCTAATATTAATAATTGACTGTTTTTTGAAATAAGTCACACCTGTCTTTTAAAAAAAATATTATGGCTACCAGTGTATTTATACACAGACTATTTGTGGTTACACAGGTCTTTTAATAATTACTTGTAGATTTTTGCTGCCCCATATAAGACAATCTTATTTGGTGACATATCCAGTAACTGAAATATGAAACATAAAATTAAATCAAACAATGCGAAAATTGGTTATTATCATTATAATAAGTTTTCATGATTTTTGCATGTTCAGTGGTTGTTAAACGATATATATGACAAGCTGACAAACCGTAAATTAAAGATATGATGGTTTGATTTGTAGTTCTACTAATCATATTCTACTCACACCGTGCTGCAAAATTAGGATCACAAAACATAAACCTCTGTATAGTCTATAATCCCTAAAATATATTAAAATTTTTAATTGGTTGATTGGTTTTGGGAGTGGCAAAACGACCTCTGCTGGTTAAGTAGCGCATAAGGGTCATTTTCATAAAAATAACAATGCTTACTAAATATTTAACAAATTACTTTAAATATTGTAAAAATATTTTCATATCAATAAAAAAAAGCCATATTTCTGAAGTCCAAGAAAAGAGTTACATTTTCACGTCTCCACTTGCAAAAATTCCATATTTACTTCACCATGGTTCGTTGGTTAAATTGATCAAATACTATGCTCTAGTAGGTGAAGCAACTAAGATACGTACATGCACATATGTTATAAGAAATTTATTGCAACAATTGTGAAAACATCTGAAATGTGTACTCATATGTTTATATATATGTATCTATACATATATATATGTATCCGTTATAAAAATTGAAAAGAAAACTCTGAGCAAAAGTGAGGAACAATTGATTCTTAAAGCGAATGGCTTCGTTGATAATATGAATTTAGCACAAATTCGTAATGGAAAGAGTTAGTATGAAGTTAAAAATTTTTTTATTTTACTAAATTTATGTAAAAAATAATGTGCATATTAAATCATAATTTTTATCTCTGATATATAAGTATTAACAACACAATAACTATAAGAAAACAGAAATGGTTATAAAAAAAATGACTTAATCAGAGATTATGTTATATCTGACTTAGCATAGACAGTTTAGACAAAAGCTGTGAAGAAGAAGAAGAAAAATATAATATAATAGTAAGAAAAACAAGAACTATTATTACTTTGATCTTTGGTTTTAACGTAATATACAGATATGTGACCTTGTTTTTTCAGTTGAAATGAAATAAGTTTAACCAATAATTATTGATAATCTAATAAAAAGCTGTACTAAATGAATAAAAAACTACTATATATTTTCATTGTATAATGAACTTATCTTTGATTGTTCTTTAATCAAATATCAATTTTTTAAACATTTTAGAGAATCATTTTGTTATTTCTCAAAAAAATATAGTAATAATAGATAGATACTAGATAGGTAGCAAAATATTTGTTTTTCACAATATCTTGAATATTTAATTAACTGAAATTATTTTAAAGGAAACAGTTCATATGGGTCATATTAGTATTGTAACCACTAATTAACTTCTAAAGTGTCCTTTACACAGCATCGCTCGCTGTCAGTGATCGATGATGTGTAAAGGGCTCTTAAGGGAGGTTATAAGTAAAAAAACCAAACAATTGTTGAAGTTGTGAATATAATACAAGTGATTTATATAAATATATAAAATTTGTACTTAAACCTGAAACTTCATTTATATATAATTAATATAGGTTTTTCAAAAACACTGAAAAGTATGTTTTACTTTATATTAAAAAATTTCATAACTAACCTAACCATAACTAAGAAATACGAGAAACTACTCTTTTAATTATTTTTCGATAAAACGATTGATCACTTCATCTGAATCAACTGTAATATCCCATTGAATCGAAATTATGTCATGCGCACTTAGTCTTTCCATTTGCATTTCTTGATAGAAATTTTATTCTCTTTTAAAGAAGAATATGATAGATCATATATTTGTTGTAATTAGTAGAATAACCAAAATCTAAGTAAGGACATATTTCATTGATGGAAAATAAATTTCATCACCCTAACGATTTCAGAACCTCAATAGATGTATCAGATTATAAATTATACTAGATTTCTACTGCAAGCAACGATATTTTATGGTCAATGTATTAAGACACATTTACCTCATTGATTTAATTCAGAGGATGCTTCAATTTCTCGAGCATCTCCTGTACTGCAATATTCATTTCATTACAAATGTTTTCTCCATTATTTTAGTAAATGGATAATGTTTGAAAGAGATTGGGTGCTGAGATAAAGAACTTTTATTTTGAATCAACTAAGAGCAGGATAAATATAGGGTTTTGAATTTATTATATATGTTGGAGATAATTATGGTACTTTCTTATTCTTGAAGATAAGCTAATTATAATGTATGGTATACATTAAATTTTCGTTCTTTTTATTACATGAAGGCACGCAAGTACACAAACATAAATAGATAGAGCAAAATCATTATTAAAATTAAAAGTAAATTAATTAAGGTTCTTTTAAAATATTTAATAAATACTAGATTAGAAAATTGACATCTAAAAAAAATAAACTTAAAACTAATTAAAAATACTCCTATCATATTTCTTAGTTTCTTTCTGTCCCACGCCTCAGTCATATTACATATTTGAACGGATTAGGATGTATATCAATAACACTGTCACCGTAATCTTTGTGGACAAAATCTTAAATCTTAAGTACTTATATTACTTAAAAAAGTGAATAATATTATCATTAACCAGTAATCGAAAAATGATCACTCTTTACTTGTGATCATTTTCAAAATACTACTTCTAAAGATCGCTTAACTTATTTCGAAAAAAACTATATTTTATCGAAGTAAGTTTAACACCTTAACTTTGGAAGGAATCTACCTTGAAAGTCATTTCTTTTTATTTTGAGCATGAATGGTGCAAGATATATTAATGGGGAAAACCAAAGAACCTACTAGACTTATAGAAAGTACCACAAGAATTATGAATCGTAAAAATTGGTTCAGAAATGTGGTTTGATACTCTAACTATGGTTCGGCAGTGATTTAGTCCAATAACACTGAAAAATGGGAAATTACGATTCCTGAGTTTGAAGTTCCAACCCTTTCCTTGTCCCACTTTTATAAGCCACTGAATGTGAACGCAATCTAACAACGATTTTACAACAATTTTATTTTATTTATGCAAAAAATTAAATAAAATTATGAAGTGTTGACATTAGAGTAACTAAGATGATTAATTGAGTGCTGTAATTGGAATTCTTTAAACGTTCAAGATTTATTAGTAAATGATGCAAATACTGTTTCAAATACTCACAAGAATTTTACCTTTCAATTCAGAATAATTATGTTTGTGACTAATTGAACCTAATCGTATGAATTATTTCTAATTAAACAAAAGAAATATGATTAAATTCTCAATACATTTTATTGTCTTCAATATCAGAAATATACATTCCTCTTCTCATAAACGTAAGCAAATGGTAATTACAAACTCGACAAGGTGAACTTGTCATGATAAAGCCAAGTAGTTCACGCCTTAAAATTTTTCTAATTAATTCATTACAAACAAATATAAAACAATACCGTAAACATCGTCTTAATTGTTGTCTAAAGAAACTGAATTAATACAACGTTATTAGCTATGAATCAGAACTGTAAAATAGCAATTAGAAGTCGCCATAACTTTCCAATCTCAATAAATCGGATTATTTTTTATTTGCATGTACAATCCATTTTAAAAAATATTACAAAGTAAAATAACAATTCCTCCCCTCTTTGCAGGCCTCACAATGAATCAACGACAGCTTAATATTTTTGCCGCAATTGGGCTTCTTCTACTTTCAACTCTGTATTCAATTGATGCAGCAGAAAAATGGTCTCGTCAATTGGAAGCAACTGGTCCCGGTGATGCAAGCTCATTCGATTGGGTACCAGTTACACAACCAGCTTTAGCACCCACCGCTGAGTCCGCAGATGCCAATTTGAAGGATCGGTCTGCAAATGCTCGTGTATTGACTTATTCTCAATCGTTTCCACCGAATCCACGTTTCGGAGAATTACAAAAGCATCATAACAGTCCGTTGTCGCAACAGCATCCTTTTGATTATCCTTATCAGTTCCAACGATTTAGTAATGCACCACAAGCATTGCCTCTACGACAATCAGCACCGATAGCTGCTCCATTGAAAGGTAGTCCACTTAAATCTCAGGAACCTACATCACAGTCATTTTTCAGTTTCGAAATGCCATATCATGGAGACAACAATCGTCCTACTGGTAGCTCGCCTACTCTACAAACCGGCTACCAAATTCAGCACACTTTTGGCGGTGGCGCACATGCTACGCTCTTTAGTTCGCCGCTCTACAATCAGCAACCAGTATTTCCATCGGAATTTCATCCCACACAACAAAAGCCCTTACAACAACAATTACAACAGAAGCCACTGCATCAACAGAATTATATAGAAGATACTTTACCAATCAAAAATCTCTTTAAAGAATCGAAACCATTAGCAACACAGCCGCCCTTGCAAAGTGTTGCACCACAAGTTTTTCCGTCTAACCCTGCACAGGAACCAGGTTTCGATATAAACACTCCTTCCACTTTCCAATTGCAGTCGCAATACCAACAAACAGCACCAGCTTCGGGTCATGGTGCTGCTCCTGCAGCAGCTGCTGCACCACAGCAACAAGAAGTACAGCTGTTATATGTGCCTTATGACACTCTCTATAATCAGCAGCAAGGACAAAATAATCAACCTCAGAATCAAGGACTTCCAGTAAACAAATACAATGTTAACCCGGGTCTGCCAGCAGTAAATCCATACCAAATAAATCAATTTTATACTCCTGAACCTCTCACCCAACAAGGACCCAATTATTATGGCACGAGTACAACTAGTCGTCCACTGACCACGTCGTCAAGGCCCGCTAATATTTTCGAAAACTTTTTAAGTCCACAATACACAACACCAAAGCCAAAGCCGAAAGCTCATCAACCTCCACTTGCCATGTTTTTAGCGAAAAATTCTGTCCGTACAACGCAGTCTGATGTTGTGTCCATGCTACGTAATGCAAATACCATTGCTGTAATTGATGCACCAGCAAAACAAATACCTGAAATATTTGTTGGACCAGCTGGTATGCCTACGCCCGAGGGCTTTGTTAAATTTGATTTACCCTATTTATCGCAACTGAATCAAAAGCGAGATCTACGTGATGTACCATTCTTTGTTGCTCCCCTAAGCTACCGCACGCCAAATGGTTTCAACAAAATCCTGCTACCGGAGCCACATGTTGGGTCTATTGTTGTTAATAGAGCAAGGGAAAATATAGCACAGGAACTTACTCCACAATTCCCACAAGCACAACCTCAAATTTCCCAACCTCAACATGCTGGTCTAGTATACAATTTGCCAAACCAAAATGAGATTGGACAATATCAAACCACAACCCAACGACTACGTCCGAATGGACAACGTATAAAAACAGTTTCGCCAATTAAGGACAATTTTGCCAATGTTTTACCCAGTCTAAACAGTGAAAACCAATATGAAATAACTACGCAGCGTTCTACTTTACCACCTTCTCGAGGAAATAAGTTTTCATACTTCGCTAATCAAGATGTAATACAAGAAGTGACATCACCAAAAATAACAAAACAGGAACGTCATAAAAAGAAGCGACCACAAAATGTTCAAATTGTTCAACCTGCATTCACACAAACAATCACGAATCCCTACGCTCAATTCCAGCCTGCACCGAACCAGATAATAAATGACGAATATTTCAAGTCTCAGTCCTATAAGCCATCCTCGACCACATCTACTAGTACAACGTCCACAACAACAACAACTACATCTACGACCGAAGCATCTCCAACGTTATTCAATTATAACACCAGTCCACAGGTTGAATTCCAAAGCGCCATTGGACAATTATATCATGACGTCAACTCACCGCCAAACGTTGAGCAATATGTGCCACGATTCACGACAAGACCACCACCAGTGACAACAGCTGAAGAAGAGTATCGCATGAAGCAATATTTCCGACAACAAGATGCATTCCGTAATCGCCCGAAAATTGTCAATCCAACAACTTCACCATTGGAGCAAGTTCAATATGAACAAACTTTCGATCCCACCACAACACAGAAATCAATTCCTTCTAAGCATCGTGTTACTGTTTACACACCAACAACTACTCAATCTTCCTCGGTAGATGATACATTAAATACATTGCCACCACAAAAAATAAACGATGTTCAGAGCGGAGTGGAAAAAGAAATACCTTTAAATCATCGTCCATCGTACATACAAAATGAAGTAAGTGAAGGACCCGTAGAGTTCGATCCAAATCCTTATCAGCTGCCCTCCGAGTTGCCACCACTTACACCAAACTTACCAGGACTTGTTAATAATCTTCAGGAAAAAAATAAACAAATTCCAGTTGAACAAATTGTTACAACAACACCTGACTATGAAGCAGAACAACCCACACGCCCCTCCCGTCGTCCGCTTAACCGTGTACGCAAGCCCGTTATTTCAAAAGTTACATCATCAGTTTCATATTCTGAGTCAGAATATTCAACAAGACGTCCATCATTACGCACCAGACGTCCATACGGCTCTCGAGGTTCCGCATCTTCAACAACACCAGCATCTGTAGATAATGAACCCACTTCAACTACAACTCGCCGTCCATCAGCAGCTCGTAATCCCTTAATACGTAATCCAAACCGTGTACGTTATCAACCTACACCGGAAGAACGTCAAACTTTGCGACTAAAACCAAAGAAACACCACAGTAGTTCCAAGAAGACAGCAGGCAAGGAAAACAATGAGGATCTTGAATATCAACGAGATGTACTCAACCAGAATTATCCAGTTTTCCGTCCAGCCACTTCCCGTAAAACAAGTAGTCCGACAGCGATACCAACAACTTATATCAACCCAACAACAGAGTCGTCCGCTTCAGAGTCACAGCAAGTATATACAGTAACACCAAGTAACAATATTGAGAGTGAACAAGGATTCCCAGCAGGATTGTTAGAACCAATGCAAATAGCACAGCAATATAATCAATTTTCAAAGGATAATTATGGTCCAGGCTATTTCCCAAATCAAGAAGATCTTAACCCCACTGAACCTGCATATAGAAATGAAATTAGTCCAGTTTATACTACAGTACAAACTACTACACCGACTACAACTACCACAACGACAGAAGAGCCTATAACGACCACCACAAGACGTTCGCCTTTCATACGCAGAAATTATCCCCGACTACGTACCACAACAGAATCGCCAGCAACAACAACACAAGCCCCTGAAGAGAAACCATCGGTAAGTTCTATAACATTCAAGTAAACTAAAAATGTAATATATAACTAATTACTTCAAATTAGATAAGACCACGATTGCCACCAAGAAAAGTCGTCAAAGTACGAACACGTACACGTCGTCCTTTGCATCCTGCATCCTCTACCGTAAATCCTGAAGAAGAAGTTGAACAAGAACCCAAAAATGCTTACCGTAAAGTAAACCGATACAACCAAGATTTGTATGACAGCGATGTAAGTATAAGAAAGATGAATTGCGCTGTAGCCCACTAATCCAATGTCTTTTCAGACTGCAAAACGTCGCTATAAAAACCAATTTCATTTGGATGGCCAAGAATCTCAATGGTCGCCATCTGTGAAAATTGCGAGTAGCAGCAACTTTAAACCAGTAAATCCAAAATCACGGGATCAATATGAACACAAATTTGAGAATGAACCGGAAATCGTAACAGCCGATTCAGTATCTGCCGAAAAGGAACCAGATGTATACGAGGTCAAAGTCTCTGCTGATCTTGGCTCACAATCAACTGGCTCTAAAGCATCAATTAAGGCACCAAATTTGAAGTGAGTTCTCAATAACGAAAGAAATCGAATTCTTAGCATTATATATACCATATATAATTCTTTCTAGGCCAGAAAAATCGTTCGCTGAACTTCTTGAAGAAGTGATGGGAAAGGCTCCCGAGGAATCACCACTTGACGAAGATACAAGCAATAAATCGATTGATAATAGCTCATTTTTCGAATCTCAGAAAACGACAGTTGGCAATCGACTAAATAGACGAGGAAAATGGAAGAAAATTAAAATTCCATCTTCCCAAAACAATGAAAGCTTTGAAACAGCGGAGTCTCAAAATCTAGGTTCTCAACTATTGAATTCGTTATACGTGGGTGACAAAGAAAAGGTAGCACCTGATTTTAACAGTGAAACGACAACTGCAATTACGCCCACCACAGAAATCTTAAGTACATCAACTCTCACAACAACAACACCAAAGCCACAAGCAACTGCACATGAATACGAAGTAACGACAGCAAAGCAAAACGAACTCACAACCACTGCAAGCACATTTACAATGGATGAATTTGCTTTTGATGATCTGAGAACTACAACGCCTATACCACTAGAAACAACAACGATAGACAGTGCGACGCGTAGAGTAGATGAAGAAGACTTAACTAGTGCAGACGATTTAGAGTCACAACCTAGTCTATTCTCTGAAGTGCGAAAACAGTTGCATGATTTGTTCGCTATCGAAGAAAATGAAGACCAAGCGGCGACAGCGGCTCTAGCTGCAGTGGGTAAACGTCGGCAAGAGTACACAAGCATAAAGAGGACAAAGCCGGAATCTACAACCACAACGCCAACAGAAGAAAGTCCGTCTACCACGTTGGGTACTGCTGTTGAAGATAAAAAAGAATTTCACAAAGATTTAATGGAGCACGCAGTTTACGCAACTTCCACTTCTACACAAGTTACATCCGAAACAGAAATCTGCTATAGAGGGCGATGCATACGTTCAGAGGATTTGCCAAAAAATCACAAATTAAATTAAGAACCAATTAGGTGTAGACGTAGATATCAAAACTCAATGCGGACAAATCATTTAATGATTTTTTTTTGTAGTACGGAAAAGAGATTGTGATAAAATACACTGAGAATTTTTTTACAAAATTAATTTTTGCAATAAGCCCGAACTCTTTTCTCAAAACCAACCGCTTTTCCGGTTTTTCCCTACTTAACCTCAATGTACTGATTTGAGTCATGGCTTTACTTCCTACAAGTAAATACTTTCTAGCTTTGTATTTAACCAATTTTTCTGAATTGTTTGTACTAAAGTAGCTTTAAAATAAACTTATATATTAACTAGTTTAAATTTCGATTTAAAATACAATTAAATTAGTAACAAAATAAAATATATTTAAAATTTATATTAAATATTATTTTAAATTTCTTGTAAGCAAACGATAAACAATTAATACGAAAAATGTTATAAACATATAAATTTAAAATTAGATTATTAGTTAATTTAAAAATAGTTTTACGATTTTTATATTTAAGTTTGTATATTATTAAATCATTAATATAACAAAAATAAAAATTAAATTAAACATGGCTGTGTGATTTATTTCAAAGTTTCCGGATACCAAGAATAACATACGTATAGAGATTCTTAATCGCAAATCCTAAAGCTTCAACATTTTATAATAATTATTATTAATAATTAAGATCCTTTTAAAGCAATAAATTAATATTAAGATTAATCACAAGTTATTTAAATTCCAGACTATGGTAATTAAAGCTAGCAATGTTAAGTCCATAAATTAATTTCTGAGCCGAAAGTTTAACACCAATAAAATATTAAGAACTTGTGGCATTTTACCTATAAGCCTTGCTGCTTATCTTAACATGCAATATTAAATTGGGTTATATACCTAAGAAGCTAACAATATCAATTCTAATGAATTAATGGATTCTAGATTGCATGTTCAGAATTCTAAAATGTCTAGAAGTTGTAAAATTATATTAAAAATGCTTAAATAAGCTTAATTGTATTCGCTAAGACAGTAAAAAACTATATTCACAATTTTTGACCCTTCTTTTTTTACCCCACAGCGTCAATTGTATGTGCTCAACCAATAAGTATGTATTTCGAGTTATCTGAGCTGATTATATATACTCGAGCTGTTACCAAACATTTCACTGATGAAGTAGTCACCTTCATCAAACACCACTTATGATAATATCAAGTCGTTATCTACATTATTTGTCCAGAAATCCAGAAAATAATAAATAGTAATACTACGTAATAGTTACATAGGTTGAAAGATCTAGAGTATGTGGACTACATTGTACTGCTTTCACACTTACATCAGCAAATTCAGTCAAAAATTAATGAATTGCAAGACGAATCGTCGAAGACTGCAATCATTTATCAATCGATGTCTGCGCAAAATATTAGTCATATAGTGACCTAGAACGATTTTAAAGAGCTATGGAGAATAACGCACCAAATAAACGTAAACAAAGAAATAAGTAAAAAGAAGTATAGTTGGATTGAACACACACTGCGTAAGCTTTCTGAAGACATCGCACATGGTGCACTTACTAGGAACCCCCAGGAGACTACGCGCAGAGGCAGACAAGCCACGACCTGGAAAAAGACAGTTCAGCAGGAAACAAATCGTTTAAAAAGTTGAGAGGATAGCACAAAATAGAAACCAGTGGACAACTTTTATAGACTCCTTAAGCTCCTAATGGAGTATGGAAGTAATAATAATAATAATAAAACCGCGTGAGGCTAGAATACAGGCACTATCCCCACACCAGGTAAGAAAGCTAGTAAGAATTTGCTGAATTCAATATTAACGTAGTGTTGCTACTGGCAGTTATAAAAAAAGGCATTAATGGATATGGTGTACATCCCAAAGCTTACGTCCCCATAGCTACTTAGAATATATGATAATACTAATCTGAACAAGAGACCATTACCTATATTAGGTGTACTATCTCTTGACCCAATTTCTTGACTTATATACAAATCTGTATAGAAAATGTGCGTTTATTCCTCATATAAATCATATAATATATCTGTTTAATTATCAATTTTATCAACGCAGTTGATTAGCTCTAAATTACTAACATTTACTTGACCTAAGAGCCATTACACTCTATCCTCGTTCTTAATATAAAATATTGAAACTGTAGTTAAGTTATTGTTGTTGTAAAAGTGAACGAATTTTTTTTGTTGTATTTTTACTACTCTTTGAAAAAACTCTTTATGTAAGCCATATATATACATTGTAATTACTAGAATTAATACATTAAATTAATTAATTACAATAATTAAAAAATGGTGATGTTTGCTATTCCGTTGCCGCACATCTTAAAATCAATTTTTTCTTCAAATTTTTCCACATCTGTTTCCTTTTCACTAAGGTACTAGAAAATGATATAACCAATCCAACCACAAAAAAAGCTTTTCAGGGTCACCATAGAGTGTACATATATTTGTAGAAAAATTAATATATAAACAAGGCAAACCACAGCATTTTATAGTAATTAAACATAAAGTTGAAAATATATTAGACAATTTAATTAATATAAATATAAACAATATAAATATATGCCAAATTATAAAGACAGTCACTATAAGCTTAAGCAGTATGAAAAATACATATTTTTATAGTTTGATTTAAAATAAACAAAATATCATTTAAACATTCATTAATATCACGAATATTATACGTTTACAATTATTAAGTTTATATAAACTAACACAATTTACTTGTCTTTTAATATTAAGTTTTTTAATTATCGAGTTGGTTTAGTATTTATAAATACTAAAATAAAATGTTATATAAAATGTGGAAAAAAAATATAATGCGTCATGAAGAAACGTGATCAGGTCAATGTCTTTTCTTATAATAGTTTTACTTATTCATAATTAAATAGCTATTCATTGACAAGTAATAAACCGTTTAAACGATCTTGCACTACCGCCAGCCACTTTAAAGGCTAATAATCCAGTCGTTATGGTTACAAAATAACTCAGCAACAAAGTGGTTGCATACATTTCATTTGCATTCAGCAAAGTGATTAGGGACACAAATAGATGTGTACCAACAACATACCCTACATGCAAATAATTTGATATATCGAGAGCATTAAAGAAAATGATGTTCCAGAAAGTATGCAACAGCACAATTGACAAGGCTTGCGTTGCTGAAGTTATAAAAAAGACTTCTGAACCACCTTTAAGTCCGATTGTTCCAGGTCCGGCCTGTCGAAATAAAGTGGATTGAAGAATAAACTCAAACTTTTATTGTTTCATTAACTTACCATGTCTGCTAGCAAATTCACCAGCGCAAATACACCAGACATTATACCAAAGCCTAAGCCTGAAACATACGCTAATATATGCTTATTTTCCGTAATACGTATGCTATCCGTAAATGCGCTCAAGCCCTGTTCCGAGCGGCGTAATAAACGATACACTATAAAGCGGAAGGCTTCTTGAAACAACACGGAAAATATTACACCAAACGCCAAATATTCTCGTAGAGGTACCACTATGAACCAAAGCACAGACGATACAAGCAATGATACCAACCAAAAAAATGCTGCAGCTATAAGTATTATTATTCGTATTGGATCATTGGAGATGGTGAAAACAAATAACGCAAAAGGCAAGCCAAATGCTATGAAAGTGCAACCGAAAAATTCTGGCAGTGTCATTTTTTAAACGATTTTAATATTTTATAAATAGTTTAGCTTTTATTGTATACGTTTTTATTTTTATATCAAATAACTTCTTAAACATAGCACAAAATCTTAATGATTTTAATTTGCAAACACAGCTATGACTCCTGCATTTCACAAAACACTATGAAAAATGCACAAAGCATCAGCTGTTGATACCACTATTGTTTAGATGTTACACTTTAAAAAGTAATTTGATAAAACACATTGATAAGCAGCAACTTTTTATTATATATGTGTTTGTTATATCCAAAAATAATTATTGTAAAATGATCATACTCTTCATTACAATGTTGTATGGATAGAATAAAAATGATATTAGAAACTAAAATAAATGAGCAGAACTGTAGAAAAATCAAAATATTTTGATTTCTATCAATCTGCATTACATACCTGCAAATCGCACTCACACTTTCATAAATGCCATAGCGAAGTGTAACGAAGACTTAACAATATATTAGTTAATATAAATTTACATTTTTAATAACAATTTATAGCGAATGCATAGGTTTTAACCCTAAAATTATTGAGTTTGTTCTGCTGTTATATTTTATATACATATAAAAATATATAATTTATAGATGTTACATAAAAATATTATTTATCACATACCTATTATGAAGGTAAAGATATTATTGCATCAAATATATTTAAAATATAATTGCAATAATATAGAACTATTATTTTGTAAGCAAAGGAATTCACATTTTTATTTCATTTCGACAAAATAAAACAATTGAAATAAAATGTGCCAATATAACATCAATTTTATTAAAAATAATTATTATTAAAAATAATTATTATTATTAAAAATTTATTATTTTTTTTAATTAAAAACACATTGATTACGATAAAAATCGTAGACTTATTTAATATATTCACAAAATATTCTTTTTTTAATTTAAATCACCTCATAGTTGATGTGAACCCTTTTCAATTAATTGTGCCTACTTTTATAAAATATTTGCAGTATTCTACTACTAAAACGGCACGAATTCAGAAAATTGTTACCTTACAACCCTAATGACTGGGTTGTACGTAAACAACCCAAAATAATTTGTACCATAGCTTGCAGTCATTCTCAATTTTTGATTTTATATTGAATATAAAATATATAATGAATAAATATTTCAAAAATATTAATATATTTAGAAGAAATTTTATTATGATTTTCTATTATACAAAAACCCTTCTATCAAATAATTATAAATAAATTTGATTTTGAAACTGATAGAACAAAATTTGTGAAAAAATATATATTATTATTATTTAATATATTATTTTTTATCATTATTATTTATTATTATACTTAACATTTATTAATATTGTATTTATTAATATTTATTATGATCATTATTGATTCAAAGAAATTCATACGGCACTTACAAAAATTATGAAATTTTATTTAAAATCTAAACTAATAATAATAAATTTGTTGTGGATCAAATTAGGTTATAAAAAAATGGTGTATATTATTAACATTATTCTTCAATAATTAATTCTCCGTAACATAAAACACTTTTCATGAATTTATACAGGTTTTTAGAATTACTACCACTTAACAAGACTTTAATTTCTTCTTCGAACAGAAATGGTCAAAAGATAGACGCCTATGTTCTCTGAAAATCGGACATACAACAATAATATAATATATATTTTTAATTTCATAAAAATTAGACAAAGAACCACGTTCAGGTTGTGCTTTATTAAATTCTCTGACGTTAAAAAGACCGCCTCTACATTTAAAAAGTACGCACGATATGCGCTGCGTTTTCGTAAAAAAAATAATGTCGTATTGTTATATTCGCGATTTATGAAAAAATAAATTGTGTAACATTTTTTTATTGAGTAGCCTTTATTTTGTATGTAAATATATTAATATGCATAAATACATAAAAATTCTAAATTGTATAATTAATATATTTTATAATATGGAATATACAAAAATAAAACAATTTTTAATATATAATCTTGTTCTTCTTAATAATTAATTTCTAGGTAATATTTGTACTTTAATAATACATATTAATCAGTTTCATTTGTAAATACTTATGTTCTATAGATTCATTACACAAGATTTTACTCCACTAACAACTTATACAACAATTAATTATTAGTAAGTTTCATCAGACTAATATCTCTACATATATTCCAGATTGGGATTCGATAAATTGTTTGAATAATATTCAGTTTCCATTATTCAAAGGTGAGGTTTCATCATTCGATTCATCATCTAGCTTAGATACTACAATAGAAGAATTACCACTATTATTTGACGGATAGTTCCATGGTTGAATATTTGTACGTCCAAATACAATAAATAGTAAACTGCCCACAAAATAGAAAGACGCAGATACATAGAAAACCACTCGCCACTGCATAGGATTTGTCTGTAAATTGTTGTAATTAAAATATTTAAAAATAAATTAATTGAAAAGCAAAAGTCCCATACCTCATCGGTTACAATGACACCAACAGCAAGTGGTGCTATTATAGCTATTATGTTCGCGACGCAATTCGTAATACCCATAAGAGCTCCAGCATAATTCGGAGATAGATCTATATGATTTACTTGAATTCCTAAGTAGGTAGCAGAATTTACACCTACGGCAACTGTTAACAGCGTGACTGCTATGGTACTTACATTAGTATTGCTAGTTGTTATATAGCCAAGTGTAATTAATGCGCACATAGGTACCCATTGACCGAGTGTATTAAAAAATTTTCGGGAAAAGGATAGTGTAATTCCATTTAAACCATTAATAAAGTCAGCTAAAATTGTGAAGCAAAATGATAGTATACACATGACTAAATACGGTAAAGCTGACAATGGTCCATTGCTACGAATGTTAACGCCAAGTATATTTTTCATGAATGTTGGTATTTCCGTCATTAATGTCCAAAAGCCCCAATTATTAGAGCAATGTACTAATAATAAAGTCAAAAAGGGTCTAGAAGTCAATATTTTTAACCATGGTGGGCTATGTAGCATTCTTGTTTGTTCTGTATGAACAATACGGCTTTCTGACATAGAGTTATCTATAAATCTACGTTCATTATTTGTTATGAAAGGATGTTCAGCTGGAGTACTTGCGCTGAGCATGTACCAAACAATCGACCACAATATGCCAGCTACACCAGATGCATAAAAAATGCTAGGCCACCCCATCCAAGATGAAGCCATAAAACCACTTACAAATAACATAATTACAGTTCCGAATTGTGATCCTGAGTAGCAGCAAGTAACTAAACGTCCGCGTTCCTCTATAGGTGACCACTTTGATAAAAATGTGTGTGTCGAAGGAAATATCATACCCTGACAAATCCCTTGTGTTGCGCGTAATACCAATAATAATGGCCAATCTCCAATTTCGGCACAAAATGGTGTTAGCACTGCCAAACAGGAACAGATTAGTACTCCGAAAAGAAACGTATACTTAGCCCCATATTTATACGATAAATAACCACCAGGTACTTGAGTGATAACATAACCCCAGAAAAAACTGCTTAAAAGGTAAGACTTAATGCTCTCATCCCAGTCGAATTCCTGAAACAATTTAATATATACAAATACGTTTTTAATTAATGTGCAAATAATCTTGAAGCATAAAAAAATATGCAATTTTTCATAACTTTTTAAAACAAACTGCACTATTTATTTATAATAAAATAAAATAAAGTAAGCACTAACCTGAAAATCAGGATTGGTGGGATTTCTATCAGTCATTGCCACAATAGCCACGGAAAGGTTGACACGTAGAGCATATGCTACAGCTAAGCCAGTAAATACCAGAAAGCATTGCAAATGTCGTACACCAAAGCGAGGCCCTAAATATATAAAACAATATATATAGATATAGATGCACATTGATGTTGTAAATTGTTTACCTTGTCTCTCCTGTCCAATTTGCTGATAACCATTGGAACGAAAGCAATCACAACACAAACCCATTTTTATTAGAAAAGAATATATTAAGGTCAGCAATTTTCAGGACACATTTATTTGAAAATAATAAGTGTTTCTATAAAATACTTGGCAATTGAATAATAAAAGCAACAAGTTGAACTAAAGTAAATATAGCTATAACGCTAAACAAACAAATAAAAAGCAGCTGATAGTTTGTAAACAAAAGTGCGGAACGGCGAGAATTGAACAGAATGATTTCAGAAAGGTGAAGTTGTAAAATGAAATGTTAAAACAATAATTCAGCAGAGATTGTATTGACTCACCACAGAGAGGTGGTGAAGTTAATATAAATAACTTATTAGTTTAATTAAATAAAAAATAATAAATTAGTAAATTTCTGATTTATTTTAATCCATTTTTTAAGTCAGAGAAGAGAAATTGATTTCGGTTAGAGTTATTCCCAGTGATTTTAATATATGAATGCCTTTAAAGATATCTGAAATTTTCAGCTTTGTGGATCATGAAAGGTTTTTGATATATAAATCTATTTTATGTCACTAATTGAATTTGAAGGCAAATTAAGCGTTAGGTAAAAAGTGTATTATTCAAATTAATTTGTAGGTAAATTAACTTATTGCTTATAAAAATCATCTATAAAAAACTTAATACAAACAATTTTGAACTACCAGGGTTTTTACATCTGTGCCTGTATATTGCCCTATATATTAATACTAAGTTAAATGTATTGATTAAAATTAGCCATTTTTATTAAGCACATATAATTATAACGAATTTATTTCAGTTTTGTACTTTGGAATAATTGTGAATATACATAAAGACATACAAATTTATTAATACATTTTATCCTTAACATTTAAATTGTAAATATAATTTGGAATTCAATTAAAATATTTCTTAATAATATTTATATATATATATATATTAATTATATACATTAATGCAGTCAAATTCGCTTCAATTATAAATACTTTCGGTAAATTTTGAAGAATGAATAGGCAAAATTTTTTTTATTTCGCTTACATTTCAACTTAAGTAGAAATAATTTAGCAAGGCGAAAAAATAGACCAAGATAAATTCGTTTGGAAGCGTAAGTCATGTATATGACATTTATAGTAGAGAAGTTTCGTCAGAGTAATAGGTACTTATCACATCATTTTTAATTTGAGATACGATAAAATTCAGAAATAGTTTTTAATTTTCACTATTCAAAGGTGACGTTTCATCATTTGACTCGTCTGCTTGAGTAGGAACAGGTGTATTGGAATTCCTCCTGCTATTTCCAATGTGGTTCCACGGTTGAGTGTTTGTGCGACCGAATACTATAAATAGTAAATTGCCCAAAAAATAGAAAGCAGCAGACATATAGAAGATCATGCGCCATTGCAAAGGATTTGTCTAAAGAAAATAATTAAAATGAACCGCATTAAATATATACACATCTATTAATGGAAAACAAAAAAAATATACCTCATCGGTCACTATAACTCCAACAGAAAGTGGCGCTATTATACTTATGAAATTTGCTGCACAATTGGTAATGCCCATGAGAGCACCAGCGAAATTCGGCGAAAGATCTATGTGATTTGCTTGAAAGCCTAAATAAGTAGCAGCATTCACTCCGACTGCAATCGTAAGCAGTGTTATTGCCAGAGTATTCATGTTTTCACCAGTTGTAATATAGCCAAGCCCAATTAATGCACACATTGGTACCCACTGTCCCAGTGTATTGAAAAATTTGCGAGAGAATGACAAGGGCATACGATTGAAACCGTTAATGACATCAGCCAAAATTATGAAACCGAAAGACAACAAGCACATGACTAAGTATGGTAACGCAGATAGAGGTCCATTGTTGCGTATATCAACATTTAGTATATTTTTCATAAATGTTGGTATTTCGGTCATTAGCGTCCAAAAGCCCCAATTATTAGCACAGTGAACTAAAAGCAACGTTAAAAATGGCAATGAAGTTAATATTTTGAGCCATGGTGGGTTATGCAGCACTCTTGCTTGTTCCGAATCTGATAAACGACGCCCTTGAGCAGATGTCTCAATATATCTACGTTCATTAGTTGTTATGGACGGATGATCAGCTGGTGTGCTGGCGCTGAGCATGTACCATACGATTGACCACACTATTCCGGCTACACCAGATGTGTAAAATATACTAGGCCAGCCCATCCACGATGAAGCTATATAACCACTTACAAATAGCATAATAACTGTACCAAATTGTGCGCCTGAGTAACAGTAACTAACTAAACGCCCACGTTCTTCCGCAGGCGCCCATTTCGATAAAAATGTGTGTGTTGAAGGAAATATCATACCCTGACACAGGCCTTGAGCTGCGCGCAATACCAAAACAAATGGCCAATCTCCGATTTCAGCACAAAATGGTGTAAGAATCGCCAAACAGGAACAGATAAGTACTCCGAAAAGAAATGTGTATTTGGCACCATATTTATACGATAAATAACCACCAGGCACTTGAGTAATAACATAACCCCAGAAGAAACTGCTGAGGAGATAAGACTTGATGCCCTCGTTCCAATCGAATTCCTTAAAATATAATTATCATATTATTATTTCACATACGCGGAATTATTATGATAAGGTAATTAAGTTTTATGCAAGACGATATGACAAAAACATAAAGCGAATGCACTATCATTTTACAAAAAACACAGCATATTGGAAGCGGATACTGATAATGCAATGACTAATTTTTGGCTTCTTGCATTTCAACTATGCCAAGCGAGTTTTAACAAAACTGACTCATTAGTGCTCAATTACTTATTGTTTTTTTATGTTTAATTAACGGTTGCTATAATTTGTAGCCTTACCTGAAAATTAGGATTGGTGGAATTACTATCAGTCATAGCCACAATGGCCACGGACAGATTGACACGTAGGGCATATGCTACAGCTAAACCACAGAATACCAGAAAACATTGTAGATGACGTACACCAAAGCGAGGACCTATAGATATAATATAACGTATACATATAGATAGATATCAATACACCCACGTAATTGTTTATGTACCTTGCCCTATCTGTTGATAGCCATTGGAATGAAAGCAATCACAACACAAAACCATATTCAATATTAAAACGAATTTTATCACAGTCAGCAATATTTATTAAACATTTGTTAAATAAAGTATTTTGTGCGTTTGTTTGTAAATAATCAGATGTATGCACTGCGCTCAACATATATCAACAGATACAATCAAATTGATGGCAACAAAGCACAAATGCAAATTCGACGAAAACAGCTGATAGTGCTACCAAACCAAAATACGGAACGCGGAAAACAAAACACAATGCATTGTTGAAACTGCAAAATACAAATATTGAATTAGAATTTATTTTTAATAACAGAAACGAATTTCATTTTCGTGTTTAAATTCACAGAAATTATTAATGTTCAGATAGTTTTTATATAGTAAACGGCTTATTTAACGAATTATATTCGTTCGTTAAAAATTCGTTAATGTGAATAAATATATTAAACCGCAATATATAATTTTAACCGTTGATTTCACTGTTTCCAAATTAAGTAAAGTATATAATAAGTCAGCAAAGTTGTTGACTTAAGTTGTTATTGAGGCTTAAATTACGACTATGAAATTGGATCCAAAGACTTCAGCTCTTATGCAGTATTCTTTTAAATAATTTAAATCCGTTTTTTTATATTTTTTACTATGACTTACTCTTGAAGGTCTTGTAAAATCATGATTTCTATATAACCTATATTACTTCCTGTTGCCCATTGTACAAATTCCTTAGAGAATAGAGAGAATATTCTAGTGGGGATATCAGATGTTATTTTAGTAAAAGGTTTGCTTTCAACATTCCATTCAACCGAAAAAACTAGTGGAAAAGTGCTTATAGTGATAAAAGTTAATTCATATTGAGGTCTTTCATAGGAAAGTAGTTTATAGCCGAAAGAAATCGTTTGGCGCAACCTTCCAGGTAATCTTCTGAATACAGAACTCCTTTGTCCGCAGAACTGCAATAGCGCATCCCAACTAGTAGAACGAAATTAAGATTATTGACAGTTTATCTGAAGAGTTATGGCCTGCTTTATCATCTTAACAAGATAGCTCTGTTAAAGAAATTTTCAGAGAAGGATATCTGTGTGGTATACTGTTTCCATATGATATAAGAATATCATCTCCCATTCGAAAATAAGAGTTTTGTTCATTTAGGGAAGGTTAGCAGTACAAAATATTAGTAATATACATGGTGCCTTCCTCCGCTGAGATCAAGTAAACTGCAAATTCTATTATTATTAATATTGTTATATTAACTCCCAAACTGATTGAATATTTATTTTTTTAACCATTATCGTTAGCTTCATATAACTATGGAGTACAATATTACTATATAATATACAATATATATATATATATATAATCAATACAATTTTATAAATACATATTTTTATAATAAATGAATTTGTGTAATTTCTTGTAAAATCTTAAGGATTGGTGTGATGGGAATAAAGTTTTATTAATGTGGTGTCTAAATATTTTCAGCAATTTACTTTTTTGGATTTTGGATGTTTGGATTTATTTTTATTTTGATTAAACATTTTCTTTACTCTTCACTATTATGCATTTTTAAAAATTAGATGTACTCATGATCTTTAATTTATTTTTACATTATCTTTATTTATATTATTATATCTTAAAAAACAATAGTCAAAAAGACAATTAGATTATGAAACTTCACCTATTTAAGTGTTTGGGAAGTATGTGGAAGTGGTTTTCCAATAAAAACATAAGATAAGAGAGATTAATTTTAAAAACTGCTTATATTTTCACATAAAAAGACATTTCTCCATGTAACCAACACATTATTACTATTGGAAAACTTTAAAGTATAGTGGTATTAAGATCTCTTGCGCCCATCCCTCATAAACTAACATTCTTTCAACCCAACTTCTTCTATAAATATATATTATTTATTTATTGTACTAAATCTGTCTTTATGTTATGTGTTAGCCTAATTGTATACGATATAGCTTTCTTGCATCTGCTACGGGATGTCCTATAACTTTTTGCAAAATCTATATATCTTAAAAAAGACAATTTGCAGTATGTTTAGATAATACTTCAGGCTAAAGGCTTTTCTGTTAGAAATTCTGTTGTATATTAACAATTATTTTGTTCTTTGCTCAGTTGAAGAAACTTTTATATCGATTCATAGATGTCTTATCGTCTTTCTCGATTTGGGTAGCATGGACATCCTTATGGATTTGGAATTTTATATATAATAAGAAAATCATAATTTTAATAAAATGTTTCAGATGCACAGAATAAAATTTAAGTTAAGAAACTTTGCAGAAAGTTTTTTTCATTCATTTGATTAAGCGACTTTTCAAAAAATTTATTACATAAGGTAAATGTTTTTGTTGGGCAATGAGGAGATACCTCTATTGTTTCAGCGTATTGTACCGATAGATATGTCCCTAATAATGATGACTTTTAAAATTTGGTAAAATAATTTCATCTGTTACTGTTACTGAGTCCTTTCTGTGCTGATGGGAGGACTCAACGATATGTGGGCATCTATATGCAATCTGACCACGTTCCGATAAAAGGAAATCCTAATCCTTATTGAGATCTTTTAATAGGTTTACTTACAGATCACTGTAAAATAGGGAACCATGCTAAAAGATTGGGTCTCCCTATCAATCAAACCTGTCGCGGCTGTGGGGAAGACGATGAGAGTGCCTGTCATCTACTATTTTTTTACCCAGCTTATGCACGGCGGCGACTTAACACTTTGGGAGCCCCCTTTTTAAGGATCTTGATCAGTTGCAAGACCTAACACTAACAAGCATTTTAGACATTTTTGAACCTCGAGTTTTTCCTACATATACGGTAACACAATGGGCCAATAGGCCTAAGTGGATCCGCTAGGGATCGTCGGTTTACTCTAATCTAAACTAAGTTGATCTTTTATATATATATCACAGAAGGTCTTTTGAAACTTATTAATTAGTTTTTTAGGTTAGGTTACAAATGTGACCCTAACTTTTACCCATTGTTCCTTAGCCTCTTCTAATTAGCTTATGAATTTAATATTAATAAAATTTTATGAAGTACTATATGAAATTTAAATTAAAAAACAAACAAATATTTGTGTATATGCAGATTTTTTGAATTTAGTTATATTTGTCACATTCTGCGTTACATTCATACATTTTTTCATACAGAAAATTATACATTTTTCAATTTTTTCATATAAATTTACAATTATCAATAAAAATTGTATTTGTTTTAAACAAACAAAGTTTGTGTTTGTCTTAATTTAAATTAATTATTAAATCTAAGTTTATACAAACATTAATATTGCAAACATATTTTTACTTAAATTTTAAAAATAATTTATTTCTTAAAAATAAAATTATTTACACATTTTAGAAGAGCATAATTTAAAGTTTTTTTTTTTAAATATAGTCTAAATTTTTTTAATATTTTTTCATAAATTTTTTTTTCAAATACTGAATTATATAAAAACAATTAATTTATCTTTAATTAAAATTGACTTAATTATTTAAAATTACTAATATCGCTATATAGAAAATTATAAAAATAATTTCATTGGAAGCACGCGATTACTTTTTATATATTAATTATTACTTACATTTCTATGTTTTTTCAAATATTTCTAAAAATTCTATATTAATGACTATAAAAAAATTTAAATAATTATTTACAATAATAAAATCAGTTATTTAGTCTTTTTTCTAAGCCTACATTAAGAGGTCTTCAGTTTACTTATTCACTATTTAGGATTTGTCTTTTGAAACCTTCATTTTGTTACTTCATCCTTCTCACTCTTTTTGATATCACCATTCGTCAATAGTGCTGGCGACTCTGCATCGTTCACACTTAACCGCTTAGCAAGTGCATCTTCTGGAGAGTTCCAGCTCTGCACGTCTGTTTTGCCGAGGACAACGAACAAGAAGTTACCCGTGAAATAAAAGCCCGCCGCTATGAAAAACACAATGCGCCATTCAACAACATTTTTCTATAAATAAAAGAAAAAGAAAGCTGTGTGAAAATTTATTTTTGGATAAAAGATAAATACAATCTTACCGCATCTGTTACAATAAGTCCCACAGCAAGCGGAGCTAAAGCACTCATCACATTCGCAGCACCATTGGTGATGCCCATAAGTGTGCCGGCGTAGTTGGGCGATAGATCAATATGATTGACTTGGAAGCCTAGGTATGTTGCAGCACTGATGCCTACTGTCACAGTCAAGAGTACCACAGCCAACATAGCTTGATCGTGCGATACATAACCCAAGCAAATAAGCGATAACATTGGAATCCAATGTCCAATGGAATTGAAGAATTTTCGATTGAATGAGAGCGAGACATTTTCCTTGCGTGCCAACACCTTTGATAAGAAAATGAAGAAGAAACTCAGCAACAACATAAGCACGTACGGTAAAGATGACAACAGAGCACTATTCTTAATATCAACATCCAAAATATTTTTCATATAGTTGGGAATTTGGGTTAATAATGTCCAGAAGCCCCACATATGCGTGCAGTGCACAATAATAAGTGATATAAATGGTGGAGATGTGAAGATTTTGCGCCAAGGTGTGGGTGCAACTACACGTGGTGCATTCTCTACTTGACCCAAAGAGTTTTCAATAAATTTCTTCTCCTCTGGTGATATGCTTCTGTGTTCAGCTGGTGTGCTAGCGGCGAAGAGGAACCAAAACAATGCCCAAACAAATCCCATGGCACCGGACACATAAAAAATACCTGGCCAACCGGCTGAAGATTGAGCAATAAAACCGCTCACCGCTAACATAACAATCGTGCCAAATTGTGATCCAGAATAACAAAATGTGCCTAAAGCACCACGTTCTTCCACTGGAGCCCATTTAGCTAACATGGCGTGCGTTGCCGGATGTACGGAACCCTGCAGTAAGCCTTGCATGACACGTAGAGCAAACAATAACTGCCAACCACCAAGCGAAGCGGCCAATGGAGTAAGTAATGTAAATAGCGAGCATAAGGTTATACCAATTAATAGCAACATTTTAGCACCATATTTCTGCGCTATATGTCCACCCGGTATCTGTGTGATTATATAACCCCAGAAGAAACTGCTTAACAAATATGATTTTGTGCCTTCATCCCAATCGAAGATCTATAATATAGAAAATAGATTATAAATATCGCTTCTGAAGAAGTATTGAAAAAGTGTAATTACCTCGACGTTGGTATTTGTGGAGTTCTGGTCTGTCATGGCGACAATGGCCACTGTCAAATTCACCCGCAGCGCGTAACACAGAGACAAACAGCAGAAGCAGAGAAAACATTGTATATGTCTGGTTCCGATAAGCGGTGCTGAAATAAAATAAAACAAAAAGTGGTCGATAAGTAAAGAGATGTAAAGTTATTGTTTATATGAAAATAGTATCTGAACAATATAAATATATGTGTATATACGTATGTATGGCAAGTGTAACAGTTACAAAGCACTTACGAGTTGGGTAAGTAGCTGATAAGACAATTTGTTTATATTTACTTCAACAACAACCAAAACAACCAAAACAACAAAACAACTCTAACGCGATTCCGAAGGCTTTCAGTGCACTCTATGGAAAAGTGGCTTTATCAGTGTCAAGCTTTTCCATGATGATAAGAAACCTAATTTATAAGAGTTTTTGTTTCTTTTTTTTTTGGATGTGTGAAACTGTACATTTTGTCATATCTACCAGTATAATTAGATCAACAACTGTACTTGGGGTCATAAAGTGTAGTTACATACTGTACCGCCAGGAAACAGTGTGAGACCTATATTTCACGGCAAAAATATACAAACATACTTCTTCACTTAAGGGCAGAGAGTTCAAAAAAAAGAAATGTGTAGTCACTAGTTTTAATAATTTTTTGTCCCTTATAGGTAGCAGCAATTGAAACCAAGGCGCATGTGGCTTAGAATATAAAAGTATCTTTGTTCATTTATTTCAAATCATTTCGCTTAGGTAAACAATACTTGATTTGATAAAACTTGTTGTGAGATACGAAAAATTCAAAAATTAAATTATAAATGAAAAATGCTTCAAATCATAAGAAAGTGATTTGTCACGCTGATATTCTTCAACTCCCCACTTGATATTGTTGAGATAATAGGCTTGAAATATTATGAAATTCCTTTGCCCTAAAATAAGAGGAACACTTTAACGAATCGCGTGCAATTTACACGCCCGAAGACTCGAAGAGATAATGCGAGTAGTTATTTATTGGCACAATCTCGACGTTATTTTTAGAACCACCTTGTCGGATTTTTTATTCTGAATTTTATCGTCGTTAACAATTTGCTTTTGTTGTTGGGTTTAAAGTAGGCAACTGCTGCCAGTGGCGCATGCTGTACGATACGATAGATGAGTGCAGTGCAGTGCTACCGACCCGACCGATCGTCAAGATACGACGACTGATAAAGGTGCGCTAACTTTAGAATAGAATTATCTGCATCTGCTTGTAAATAATTTAATTTTTAATCGTTTATCCAAGAAGTGCAGTTTGTCAACAAAATGTTTACAATATTCAAATATTTTATTTTTTTTTTCATGTTTTATCTCTACATACAATACAAAAAATTTAATTAATAGGAAGTTAAGAATTATATTATTTTTTAAATTATATTAATTTCCAATACATATACATCCGCAATAAACTATATATATATGTATATTATTTATATACATATGAATAAATAATTTAGGTGCTTAAATATTTGCAATAGATTAGCTATCTCTAAACGATTTTATAGGTACTTTTCCAATATTCTGATATGTGATTGATGGGGTACGTACACAATCATACAGTGATAGCTAAAATCTATATTAAGTTATCTAAAATTCTTTTCTATTTCATTATTTTGTATGCATTGCTTAATTTATATTACTAATTTGACAGAAAGTCTGATTAGGTGAAAATATTGCTTCCATTATTTTGTTTATAAATAAAGTAACATACATAATAATATGCACCTAACAAAATCGATTTCGACGTCAATGGAAAGGGGAGTTCAAAGTAAATGGAACGTTATTTATAATGATCTGTGTATTTAATGGTTACGACACATTCTTGTCTCAAATTTGGTCGGTATTTTAAAAGAAATGAAGTTATTGCATCTAAAGATAGACAGCCCGCCTTTTCCATAGTATAGATAATTCTAATTAATGCAACTATCCATCACCGAAATGTGTTGTTATATGTAAAGAACAATATTATAATTTTTATCTGTTTTATAGATAAAATATTTATTATATTACTACAAAAACTACTGGAATTCTCTTTTGGTTAGGCTTGTTTTTATTCAAATTTTATTATCAAATAAATAAAGATCAGTGGGTCCTGTGTCCCACTGTTTTAAATAAAAACGAAGAAATAGAAAATATAGTTATAGAAATAATTATTTTACTACGAGTATAATTAAATTTTTATTTCATCACAAATAATGGAAAACAACCTCATATTTCATGTTAATAGTGTTTTTCTTTTTTAGATCTAGAATACATATTCATAAAATCTCGACTAAATATCTGTCATTTTATTCAAATGGGTTAGTAAGACTATCATGAAAAATCCTATACACGAAAAATAAAAACAAATTATTCTATTTGTTATATTTATTATATTATGATTATAGAAGATAATCACATAGTCCTTCTGTCATTTCTACAATTGCATATTTCAAGGGTTCTAAATAAGAATTTATTTTGATTTATTGATGTTCCATGCTTCGATTTTTTTCTTCTACATGTAGTCTTTTATGTCATTATGGGAATGAGCAAAGTTGTTGCTTTATAAATACTTCAATGGATCATATTTTATAAATTTTCATTAAGTTTTGATTAGTATAGAGATGCGTGGAGAATCTGGTTAGATCAGTGTTAAATATTTATTTGTCAGTGTTGAAGTATTTACATATAGTGAGTGCTGAAGTATAGAGGTGCTATGGGTCTCACTGAACGAAATTAAAAGATACACATTTAATTGCTGTTACTCTCACCAGTATTAATGTCTACGCACACCACAAGAAGTTTAAACAGAGTGAGTTCTGGAATATAGAGCAGCTAAGGGTCTTGCTACATAAAATATGAAATTGCAACTAGATATTTGTTTGCTCTTTCTTTTACCATTACTTATATCTACGTGGCCCATAAGGAGTTTACAAACATTGAGTTCTGGAGTATTGAGCAGCTATGCGTCTTACTGACTCAAATAAGAGGTCGTAAATAAGAGGCTGTATATTTTTTTGATCTTACTCTTACCATTAGTAGACATACAGTGAGTTCTTGATTGTTGTGTAGTTTTTGAGTGTTACATCTGTCGAATGAAAAATGAAGATACAGTACCATATTTGTGTGAACTTACTCTTACCAGAGCTAATATCTTTGTGGATCGCAAGGACTTTGCATGAATTGAGTTTCGGTGGATAGATCTTTTATTGTGATTTTTGGAGGAAAAAGTATAAATGGTTAGTTTTGTTGGAAAAAGCACATATGATGTAGTCGGTACGCTAACAGTATATTCCCAGTATCTCAGTCATTGGAAACTATGTGTAGACCGGCTAATGATTATTTCATTATTATAAAGTAACAATGTGACAGAATTAAAATTTGTTAAAAGGAACATATATTTTTAGCAATTTATATGCCACGAATATATCCTACGTAGGGCCATGTTCTGTAGCGTGTCTAAAACACAGCATGAGTTAAATTGTTATTCTTTTCAATGCAAATTATAAAATAGAGATTGAGAGAAAAAACAATATGTCGGTTCAAATTCCGGTATGAGAGCCGGAGTATATGTGCCTTTAGATGATCTATATATATATTTTATTATGGTAAAAATTTTCATTATCTTTCTGAACTCAATAGTAGAATAGAAATGAACGGGGTACTAGCTCCCAACGCAAAGGAGCACTGTAGCTTCATATGAATTCTATATCACCAACCATGCCGAATATAACGAAGTGCAAACTACCTATTGCACATGTGCCAACCCGCCCCTCCCCTAAGTGCCGTGCAGTGCGTTAGCAAAATAAAATTCCTCACAAACTTGTTTACAACTTTTTCTATGCTCCCCCTCTGGGTCAACGCTATAGAAGATTCAAGTACATTAAAAATAGAAAAAATTCCTGCAGCAATTTTTATTTGCCTACTTTTAGTTTTGTGCTTTGTGTTTTTTGTTTTTGTGTTTTTGTTTTTGTATTGGAAGCTTCATTATGTATTCCATATATTCATATTTTTTTCTAGCCATTTCGGACTTTAATCACAGTTTTAATTTATGATATTTTTAGTTCTAAAGAGCGATCTCAGGCAGAAGGCAGAAGCCAGCAGTCGGCAGTCGGCAGAATGAGTACCACATCTCGTACAGCAAAATTGTTTTTGTGTGCTTTTTATTTCTTTTGGTTTTGATTTTTGTTCTTGTTTTTGTTTTAATAAAATTTTAACTTAACAACTTAACGTGAGCGTGTCTCGTGCAGCTTTAATTTTTTATTGTGTGTATTCATATGAAGCATGTGGCAATCACGCGTACTCACAGAGGATCGCATATTCTTTCCGGCACCCCGCCATTTGGCCGATAACAACTTTCTCTCTTTTTTATTGTATAACAATTTTTTGATAGCGATCATTGAAACGTGTTTACTCTCTCATTCTCTTTTTGGCATGTTAATGCGTTTATTTTTAACACAATGTGTCAATCAGTTATTTGTTGTTGCTTCTGCTTCTGCTGTTGCCTTTGCTGTTGCTATAATATTAAGGTGTGCATGTGTGTGTGTGTGTGTGTGTGTGAGTTACCATTAACATTCGTGTAAGTAAGTGTTGGGGCTATGGGGGCATTCGTACAATGACAAAGTTGTTAGCAGTGTTAGCAGCAGCGGCGCGCTGTACTACCTGTTATAACCGCCAGCATGTATGGAGTGCGGCGGCTGATTCAGTTTTTTGTTGCTTTTCTTGGCAGAAAAAATTTCGTACAGAAAAAATCACGATTCCCTTCTAAGCACGTGATTTCGAACACTTATCTCTAGATAAAGTGTGTCGTTGGTGAAGTTACTTCTTCGGAATTCATTAAATTTGTGATGAGTGTAAACACACATTTTTGGCGGATTATTATTTCGTTTTGGTTAATTTGGTTAATTCATGGTGAATGCGAGTAAATGCAAATTCATTGTACTTTTTCGGGGTGCTTACCTGCTGCGGTGACGCATTTTAAGCCCGCAATTTATTTTACGGTGATATGGAAAAATTTATACTGGCACTTATCATTGTCTCGATACAATCGAACTCGACGGACTGGCGGGGCGCGGTAATTGACTAAATTTACACAAA